GAAATAAAAATATACAAAGTATATGAAGTTGGATGTAAGCACTACTATATTCTTAATGGATAGAAGCCTTCCTATGACAGCCAATCAATTGGTGTAATTAGTTTCTACGTACGTTTCAAATATATTTTATGTAGAACTAAATTTATATTGTTAAATGATATATGAACGTATGTTAGATTTGTTTTGTATGTATAAGAGTCATGAATGTACTAGTAGTTGTGTGATTTGTCGTAGTTAATAATTATATAATATTTATATATAATTTACAGATGAGGATAATTCCTGACAAGTCATGGATAGATATCCCTAGGCATCGTAGATTTCACAACACATGATACAAGGAGGGATGTGAAGCCTTCATGCGTTATGCGGAAATGAATCCGAGAAATTTAAGAAGCGGTGCTATGTACTGTCCTTGTTGTAGGTGTAGGAATTTGAAGCTGCTGAATAGAAATGATATACGGATCCACCTAATGAAATCAGGTTTTGATGAAAAATATAAATATTGGAACTGGCATGGGGAAGGTATCAATGAGGATCCAAATATGCATGTTGGTACGTCCGGTGGCCAACGAATAGATGACACAGAAACATTGTTGAATAATATTTTTCCTCGACCTACAGAATATGATGTTGATGATAATGTCGAGGATGATATTGGAGACAAAAGTGAAGATGATAATAAAGTTGAAGCTGAAGAGGTAGGAGGTGTCGCGAGTGTCGAAAATATTGATGATATGCATTCCTCCGCAGAAATAAAGCGAATAATGGAGCTACTAGAAGATAGTAAAAAGGACTTATATGAGGGATGTACCGAGTACTCCAGATTTTCATTTATGCTAAAACTCCTACACATTAAGACACTTAGCGGTATGTCAGATAATTATTTTGAAATGCTTCTTGATTTGCTTCGAACTGTAATACCTGGAGGAGTGAATAGCATACCCCAAACAACTTATCAAGCTGAGAAGATTGTCGCTGCTCTGGGTCTAGATTATAATAAGATTGATGCATGTCCGAATGATTGTATTTTGTACCACAAGGCCAATAAAGACTCATTACTAAATGTGTATGTAAATCTACAGGACTGCTTCTACCTTGAGGACTTTGAGGGGGCTTGGAATTATGTGTTTAATGTCAAGGTTGAAGCAGTCCTCAAACAATGGAGGCATGAGATCAAACATGAAACCTATGACAGTTATGAGGAGGACTGGCAGAGGTTTTTAAACATCGATGACCGAGTTCACGAGATTCATTTCACGGCTCTCCTCATGTATTGGGACAGCGATGCCGCCAAGGTTAGCATGAAATTTAGTTTATAATTTTAAGATATTATTTTATTTTATATTTACAGAATTTTTTTTAAAGAATAAATCCACGAAGGGGTCAGAAAATAGAAGAAAGAAGCTGCATGACCATCACTTGGGCTCACACTCCTACGCCAATCTGGAGGATGTTTATTGTCAAGATACGGTATATGTCATTTAAAGATTTAAAAGATCTTAATGTTTAGTATGATTATGAAATCTCATAATTTATAATATGACAGGGGAAATCATTAATGCCAATACACTTGAGGGCCAGAGCAGCATATGGTACTTTTCATGAACAATATAGGGGTGATGAGGGGAATCGGGATAAGATCACGGTAAATCTCGAGTTAGTGGTGAGACTTATACATATCTTTAGTAGTATTATTAATTCTATTTTGTTAACATTACGAGGAAACAAGAACACAAATAATATGGTCATTATCTTGAATTAACTATAAATATGTGATTTAGGAGGGATTTGAGACTGCATCCAAGGAGGCTGCATCTGTGTACATTTCGCAGGAGGAGGAACAAACCGAGCCGGACCCTCACATGCTTTCTGCAGAGGAGAACATCAATCTCACACAGAACCTGATGGGTCATAATAGGTAAGGATGGTGAAAAATCGAATCAATTTGAATACTACATACTATTTATATTTGTTTACCATTATTGAATTTGAGAGCAAAGTTTAATATTTATTTCTCCCTAATAATAGGAGAGGAAGATATCCTCTGCATGGTGTCGGAGCTTCACCTGGTATAAGCATCAGATCGTCCACAGCATCCTCCACACCATCTACATCGACGAGAGCAACCATAAGCAGTTTCCAGGCTATGCCATTTGTCGCACGTATCTCTGCGTATCTGATTGACAAAATTGACCCGGAGCTGCATATTCAGGTGACTAATGAGATGACTAGAGTTGCGCTGACGGCGAACTCGATGGACGATCTCATAGGGTATGTTATACAATATTTAGGCAGTGCGATTCCTTATAGCACGTATGGTGGTATCATATGGATCATTAGCTCGATTGGCGATAATTCCGACGCTAGACAGAGTAGTGCTCAGGTACCTTATTTTTTCTTATATTTATAAATTCATTTTTATCTAATATGTTATCAAACACCACATAATGATTATTCAATTAAACATTCAGAGTGGAGATATTGGAGGGAGCAGCACCCGTTCTCGTAATCGGGATAGAGATACCCCCGCCGACGACGATGGATGAGGTTTTTAATTTTTAATGCAATAAACAGTTTTATTTGTTATAACACTACATTTATTCATGTCGTGTATCATATCTTAGTCACTGGCATTGTTAGTATATATGTTGTTGGATGTGTTTTAGACGGAACTGATTGATGTATATTTTGAAGTGGATGGTTGGATTTGTACAATGTGTTGGATTTGGTTATATAGATGTTTTTGAATGTAATTGTTATGAATTTTGATTATGATTGGATGGTTGAATGTGGCGTGTATAGTATTTTCTGGATGTATTCAAATATTAATGTAATTGTACAGGAAAATACAAATTTTAATTAATTTTTTCCCTGAAAAAAACAATCTAGACGGAATTCCGTCTAGATTGAGTCAACCTAGACGGAATTTTCCGTCTAGGTTGTAAAAAACCAACCTAGACGGAATTCCGTCTGGTGTGTCAACCTAGACGGAAATTCCGTCTAGGTTGACATACTAGACGGAATTCCGTGTGAAGCCTTCATGCGTTATGCGGAAATGAATCCGAGAAATTTAAGAAGCGGTGCTATGTACTGTCCTTGTTGTAGGTGTAGGAATTTGAACCTGTTGAATAGAAATGATATACGGTTTCACCTAATAAAATCAGGTTTTGATGAGAAATATAAATACTGGAACTAGCATGGGGAGGGTATCACTGGTCTAGGTTGACAGACCAGACGGAATTCCGTCTGGTCTGTCAACCTAGACGGAATTTTTTATTCCGTCTAGGTTGACTTCCGTCTAGATTGATCAACTTAGAAGGAATTTCGTCTAGTTTGAGTCAATCTAGATGGAAGCAAAATAAATCATCCAAACTAGACGGAATTCCGTCTAGATGACCTAATCTAGACGGAATTTCAATCAACCTAGACGGAAATTTCCGTCTAGGTTGATCGTTTTTCTACTAGTGTTTGTAGAACTTCATGAGAATTAGATAGTGTTAGAGATCTATCATGATTAGAAGTTTGAGTTTCATCATGATTAGGAGTTTGAATCCTATTTTAATTAGGAAGTTAGAATATAGATAGAGTTTTGGTTTTCCTATATATATTCTTCTATTGTAGGAGGAAAAACTGTAAAGATAACACTGATAGTGCTTAGCACTAGCCCAAGACCGTAATACCCGAGAAATCCAAAAGAAACCAAGAGAATAAACCTCTAAATATGAAGAAGAATATGAAGAACACTTAGAGAACACTTGAAAGACTTTTAGAGAAATGTAGAGAACTTATGAAGAAGAAGACTCTTTATTTGAACTTGCTTTATTCACTTGTTCAACTTTTTCTTATTACTTATAAATGAGAGAGGTGAGGAGGTATTTATAGCCTCCCAAAGATATATTACAAAAGATCTAGATTCTTCTAATATCACCTCCATAGTTCCTAGATATTTTTCTAATCTCTAGAAATTTCTACATAATATCTAAATATTTTTATCACAAATTATCTAGATGTTTCTATACTATTATCTAGATATTTAGCTTAAAGATTTCTCTAGAACACTTTAAGGAGGTGATCAACCTTCTAGAGTGTTTCTAGAAAACCTCTAGAATTTGGACCTAATTTTGGGTTTGGTCAAACTTAGAATAATTCCATCATAAACCCAAAATTAAGCTTGATCCAAAATCAAGTTTAATTTCAATACTCCCCCTTAAACTTGATTTTGTCAACCATCCTGAGCTTCGAGCGAAGTAACTCAAATTGGCCCTTTGGTAGTGACTTGGTGAAGATATCTGCAACGTTGTCTTCGATTCGAACCTCCAAAGCTTCAATTGTTCCATCAAACACCTTCTCCCGTATGAAATGATGTTCTAACTCGATATGCTTCGTCCTTGCATGAAACACCGGATTATTAGCCAACTTGATAGCACTTTGATTATCTCCATAAATTGCAACCGGCTTATTTATTGGTTCCAACAAATCTTCAAGGAGTCTTTGAAGCCATATACACTCTTGAGATGCGAGTGTTGAAGCTTTATACTCCGCTTCAGTGGTAGACAATGACACCGTTGCTTGCTTCTTGCTGTACCACGAAACACTTGTGTCTCCACATAAGAACACATACCCTGAAGTTGATTTTTGATCATCTAGATCTCCACCAAAGTCAGCATTCGTGAAACCATGAAGAGAAACCTTGGCATTGTACTTGTACATCAGACCCATGCCAAGAGTTGTCTTTACATACTTCAAAATCTTCTTTGCCGCTTCTAGATATGGCTTCCTTGGTTCTTGCATAAACCGACTTACGAGACTCACCGTGAAGGCAAGGTCAGGTCTTGTAATGGTTAAGTATAGAAGACTTCCTACAAGAGAGCGATAAGGTCGAGGATCAGGTAGCAAGGACCCTTCATCGCGTTTAAGCTTTATGTTCACGTCCATCGGAGTAGTATGTGTCTTCCCTTCGTGTACTCAGAACCTTTCAACAATCCTTCTTACGTAGCTTTGTTGGCCGACAAATATTCCATCCTTTACCCTTTCGACCTCCAAACCAAGAAAATTGTTCAATTTACCCTTTCGACCTCCAAACCAAGAAAATTGTTCAACTCACCCAACTTCTTCATCTCAAACCTCACCGACATATCCTCTTGTAGACGAGCATCTCAAACCTCACCGACATATCCTCTTGTAGACGAGCAATTTCAGCATCATCATTCCCGGTGATGATTATATCATCCACATAAAGAAGAACCATCATGTGGACTCATCCATTCTTCTTGAAGAATAGACTCAGATCAGAATTTGATGGCACATACCCGCAAAACTGAAGGAATTGAGCAAGCTTTCCATACCAAGCTTGAGGAGCTTGTTTTAACCCGTACAAAGCCTTTTTAAGCTTACAGACATAATCAGGATGCTCTCGTGACTTGAAACCAAGTGGTTGCTCCATGAAGATTTCCTTATCAAGCTCTTCGTATAGAAAAGCATTCTTCACATCTAGTCGCCATAACTTCTAACCAAAGCTTGCGGCTAAAGATAAAAGTGAGCGTACCATAGTCATCTTTACCACTGGACTGAAAGTTTCATCATAATCTTCTCCATATTTTTGAGAGAACCCTTGAGCAACCAACCTTGCCTTAAATCTGTCAATGCTCCCATCCATTTTTTGCTTAATTCGGTACACCCATTTACAAGAAATGGGTTGGACATCCTTGGGTTTTGGAACCAAATCCCAAGTTTCGTTCTTCATGAGAGCATTCATCTCCTCCTTCATTGCGCCCTCCCACTCTTGAACTCCTTTTGCTTCATCATACGATGATGGCTCCTCTTCATCTAATGGAGCTGCAAAGTAGCATGAGTAAGTAGTGACAAACCTTTCATCTCTGAACCGAGCAGGCTTAACAATGTTCCTTTTTGGCCGTTGATTAGCCATGGAACTACGATCTTCTTCCTCATCTTCCTCTTGATCAGTGCTCCCCCTTTCACCTTGCGTCTCTTCTTCAAGACTTCCGCTTTCACTTGGCATTTGAACAACTGGTTCATCGATCTTGGAGGAACCCCCACCTTCTTGTTCGACCAAGACTTGAGGTGGCCCATAAAATAAGGAAACTTCATCAAAGACAACATCACGAGATACGGTGTACTTGTGTGTCTCTAGATCCATACACCTCCAGCCCTTCCTTTGTTCATCATAGCCGACAAAGATGCATTTCTTCGCCTTTGCCTCCAACTTGGTTCTTTGAGAGTCAAACACATGGACGTAGTAGACTGATCCAAATATCCTGAGATGTTTCACCGTTGGCTTCTTCCCATGAACCATCTCATAAGGAGACTTCATATTATTCGGACTAAGTGGCATCCGGTTGATGACATACGCTGTACATCTCATGCCTTCCGCCCATAAGGCCTTAGGCAAATTTTTGTCATGTAATCAGCTTCTACATGTCTCGCTTAGATGTCTTATTTTCCTTTCCGCTACTCCATTTTGCTGAGGTGTATACGGACATGTAAATTCTCTCTTGATACCATGTTTTTGGCAAAAAGAGAGAAACTCCTTTGACATGAACTCCCCTCCATTATCCGTCCTTAAAGTCTTGATCTTCTGACCTAATTCTCCCTCTACGGTAACCTTGAATTCTTGAAACTTGGAGAATACTTCTAATTTTTCCTTCACAAAGTATACCCAAGTGTACCGTGAGAAGTCATCAACAAACAGTAACATGTACCGAAACCCAGAATAGGAGGATGTTCTCGTCGGACCCATCAAATCACTATGGACCCTCTCCAACGGAGCGCTGCATCGTGAAGTGGAGTTGTCAAATGGAAGCCTATGTGACTTTCCATATTGACAGCCTTCACAAAGCTTTCCTTCATCATGAATCTTTAACTTTGGGAGCCTGTTAACCAAATCCTTATTCACCATAACCTTTAGCTTAGTCATATTTATATGACCAAGCCTAGCATGTCATATAAAGGCATTATCATTCGTACTCATCTTTTAGCTTAGTCATATTTATATGACCAAGCCTAGCATGTCATATAAAGGCATTATCATTCGTACTCATCTTCTCAACATAAGAATTTGAGGCCGATAAAACATATAAATCCTTAACCCGTGCTCCGGTGTAAACCTCGTCCGCTTTTAATTCTTTAATATTCTTTAAGAATTTAACGTCTCTTGGGCCAAATAAAACGTAGTTACCTGAGTCAACCGCATTCACCACAGAGAGAAGATTCTTCCTTACTCCAGGAACATGATATACGTTCTTGAGAGTGATTGGGCTTCCATCATCTCCTTCAATAACGACTGTCCCTTCCTTCTCAACGCGGTGGATTGAATTATCCGCAGTAATGATGGCTTCTTTCCCGTCATGACGCTGAAGACTAGAAAATAACTTCTCGTCTCTGGTAATATGATGGCTACAACCAGAATCCACAATCCAATCATTTCCAAGATTTTTAGCTGTGGATGTACCTGAAGATGTATCCTCCACCGTGAAACATTTTTCCTATTCTTTGTCTTCAGTATGACCCTTTGATTCCGCTATATTTGTTTCCTTCAGCTTGACTCGACAATCCTTTTTGAAATGCCCAAGTTTTCCACACCGATAACACTTGAATCGCTTCTTGTCTCCCGTAGAAGATCCTTCTCGTCCATCATTATTCTTCACATTACCATATTTGGGTTTGGCTCTGAAGCTTTGTTGTCTCCTCGCTACAAAAGCGCTCCCCGAGTCATCATGGACTTTAACTCCCGCCATTTGCATGGCTAGTGATTCTTGCGAAGCTAGTAGATTTTCAAACTCCTCCAAGGAAGGTTGTGTAGCCCATCCTTGAACTGAAGTAACAAACGGTGTATATTCGGGTCGTAGACCACGAATAATAGACCGCTTCAACCGTGCTTCCGAAATCGACTCCTCCGGATTGAGAGTATTAATCTCAGAGCAAAGATTTTTTACCTTGATGAAAAACTCTGAGATTGAAGACTCCCCCTGCTTCGCATTCGCCAACTCGTTCTCTAACAGTTGTAGACGAGCCTCGTTCTTCTTGTTGAACAATTGATCTAGTGCCTGCCAAATAGCACTTGCGGATGTACATCTTGAGACATGCTCAAATAGTCCTGAAGATATTGACCTCTTCAAAGCAAACTCCGCCTTGGCATTCTTCCGTGTCCACTCCTTTGTCGCTTCCGCTGTTGCAGCATCTCCCCTTGGTGGTGTTGTGTTGCTACCGCTGATGACATCCCATAAGTACTCACTAACCAAGTATGACTCCATACATGACTTCCATAACCGGTAGTTAGATTGGTTTAAGATCTCCATTCCCAATCCAACGACACGACCCATTGATTCCATACTTAGAGTAAACCCGAGCTCTCTTTAAACCCCGATCTTGAAGAGCACAAGATTAGAATGGCTCTGATACCATGTAAAGATAACACCGATAGTGCTTAGCACTAGCCCAAGACCGTAATACCTCGAGAAATCCAAAAGAAACCAAGAGAATAAACCTCTAAGTATGAAGAAGAATATGAAGAACACTTAGAGAACACTTGAAAGACTTTTAGAGAAATGTAGAGAACTTATGAAGAAGAAGACTCTTTATTTGAACTTGCTTTATTCACTTGTTCAACTTTTTCTTCTTACTTATAAATGAGAGAGGCGATGAGGTATTTATAGCCTCCCAAAGATATATTACAAAGGATCTAGATTATTCTAATATCACCTCCATAGTTTCTAGATATTTTTCTAATCTCTAGAAATTTCTACATAATATCTAAATATTTTTATCACAAATTATCTAGATGTTTCTATACTATTATCTAGATATTTAGCTTAAAGATTTCTCTAGAACACTTTAAGGAGGTGATCAACCTTCTAGAGTGTTTCTAGAAAACCTCTATATTTTGGACCTAATTTTGGGTTTGGTCAAACTTAGAATAATTCCATCATAAACCCAAAATTAAGCTTGATCCAAAATCAAGTTTAATTTCAATAAAAACTAAGAAGAAGAGAGTGGAGAGAAGATGTAGTAGAGAGAGAGCCAATATTCTTGTAATCTAGGGTTAGCAGAGGGCGTAGCCTGATACAAAAATATTGTGTTTGAGGCGAGTGTTTCATGATCTTTATCCGTGCAAAAGATTACAAGGAGTGAGCTTTGGAGAGAATATGAGAGTTGATTATGTATGTGATGTTGAGAGATTGAGAGACGAGAGTTGAGTGGTTCCTCTTGTAGTTCTCCCTGATACATAGTGAATTTCTCGTATTGTTGCCCCGTGGACGTAGGTCGAAGTTGGTCGACCGAACCACGTAAATCACAATGTTTTTTTTTCTTGATTGTGGTCGTTTTATATCTTGTTGATTGTGTGTTGGCTTCGGAGTTGCGCATATTGTAGTAGGCGGGGAGAGTGAAATTCCCCAACAGCTCTCAGTGGGTTCTATGGCTTATTTCACTCCAGTGGGCTTGCGCGGCCCTACGGCGTGACAAGTAGATATATAGAATATTAATTTCTCAAGCATCAATCTATCTTTGAGTAAGCTTCCTATGAGCAGTACCCTAAGGTTACGCCCAAGGATTTGATACTCATGCTCCGAAGGATTGCGGGGAACTAACTTTGCCAAAGCGCCCATTGAAGTAGATTTAAAAGGTAAACAATTTGAAATCAAACGAGATGTAATTGAGAGGTTTAAATGAATATTATTTAATCTACAGATTAAAACCTAATCTAGAAATCGGTTTGTACATTCTTCAAATATCTATATAAATTCCTTCGTTAAAATCATATCATCATACTATTCCTTAGTGGTGAACCTTTGATTAGCTTCTGGAAGAAACTAAATCCTCTCCAATCTGAAAATCCATTAAAATGATTTAAGCAGAAAAGAAAAAAGAACAAAAACATAAACTCTATCGCTCTGTATTTACACCCTATATGAACTATAAATGTTTAATTAAAAGATTATGCGTCTCTTTCTGTAATAGTCAAACTGTCAACGAAACAGATGATTTACCAGTTATTTGTATCTTTCGATTTTTTTTTTCAGATGTGAGGGTATTTCCACAGATTCTTAATAAGTGGGGTGTCATTTCTAATTTTTCCAAACGTAAGGACATTTTTGGTATATTCTAAAAATGAAGCTTACAAAAATCGAAAGCGGGGCTTCTTTTTAAAATAATAGTATATAGTTGTTGCCAAATCTCTGTTCTTTTGCACAAGAAAATGTCAATCTGCAATTACGTACACAGCCTACATGCAGTTCAATCTCATCCTTCATCCTCTTGCTGAATACTCTCTCCATTATCTGGATGTAACCTTCACATCTCCTTGCTCCAATCACAAGCTGACAGCATCTATAAATGAACACAACAATACAATAATTTCAAAACAAGAGCATGCGAAATAATTCTTTGCACGTGTGAATTGACCGTAAAGCAGTCATTTATTATCCCTATATGCTTTTTAATAGCACCTAAGACTTCATGCTTTCAAACATAAATATCACTCTGTTATATGTACTATTTGTACTAACACAGATGACAGAGAGATAACTCTTGTTTGGATATCAAGAATCCAAGTGCTTATAAAAAATGTTTAGGGATAATAAGCATCTGCAGTTAACCCTTTTTAAGGTTTTTGTCATATTAGACCCCAAAAATATTTTTTAACAAGATGTTAGACCTTCAAATATTTATATTTGTAATTAGACCCCCAAAAGTAAGATAACATAGTAATAAAGCCAAGTGCTTATAAAAAATGTTTAGGGATAATAAGCATCTGCAGTTAACCCTTTTTAAGGTTTTTGTCATATTAGACCCCAAAAATATTTTTTAACAAGATGTTAGACCTTCAAATATTTATATTTGTAATTAGACCCCCAAAAGTAAGATAACATAGTAATATAGTCCCTGCTCCTTGCACCATTTCCCTTCAGGTTCTCTTCAATAGCACTGTAGTCTAATTTTTTTAATATGTCAGGCATTGATGACTGATCGTATTCTTGTTTTCTTCCCATTTCCAAGTCCAACATTTCGTCCGGCATAAAAAGTTCTGTCGTGCTATTTGGGGTGTTAGATTCAATTTCTATATTTTCTTGGAGAACCCATGATCTGAAATCGTTCAATGAAGGTATCGCTTTCGAGAAGAACGCGTGTTTGAAATTTCCCAATGTTCCTTTGTTGAATGGATTCTCCCTCTTATCATATCGATAGCGAAAGTTTTCGTAAGTTGTCTGCAGAAAATCATACAAATACAAGGTGTGTTATGGCTATACAATTTGGAAGGAAATATGGCTAGTAAAATGAAGTGTTGATGTAGGATATGAAACTTGTGCATGTTAGAGCTAGATTGAGCATATACACTTTGCCAAAAAGGCTTTATTTTCTTGTTTATACTTCTATATCAGCATATATTGCTCCGTGACAAACATTTTCAACGTACTTAACAAATATGTCTTCGCAAAATCTAGGAGGGTTTTCTGATAAAATCTCAAACTTAAAGGGGATTTTCTGATAATCCA